TGTGACCACCCGGAGCTCAGCCAAAAAGACTTGGTACTGCAAGAACTGAAACGCAAGACGGGGCTTAAAATGCTGAAGGAGCTCCGGGAGATAGACCCCCCAGTACAAATGATAACGACACTGGATGTCGAAGATGGTGCTCATGGTGCTGGGGGGCAAGACACGCGCACAGCCCCTATGAGGCATCTGAACAGCGTGTAAATTGTACATTGTAAACATTTTGACAATAAAGCTGATCTTTTGTACAGTGCTTTTGTTTCTCTCTTTTATTTTCCAGTCAAGACAGGCAACATTACAATAGTGTACAGTGTGGCAATATAATAACAATAAACTGTGCCAGGTGTGTTGTATGCACAGTAAATAGGCTCAGCAGCAAACCCACCTTTATTATTTATTATATATCTTCCTGAGACCCACTGCATCCGTCTGCCATAAACACTTTGGAATCCTACATGTTAGTTTCGGCCCATAGTGGACTCCATTTTGTGTTGTGTAAAATGGGGGGGGAATTAAAAGTTTGCAAATCCCCATGTCCTCCTCAGAGGACAATCATAAAAACAAATAATATTTAAAATGATGTAAATTATCATATTTGTGTATGTGGCCCTGCCATTCCTCCACAAGGTTGCAACATTGATGATAAATAAATGACAAATAAAGCTTTGCCAGTTTATAACCGATGAAACATGATGGTATCAGAATAATCACTTACATGTGATGTATAGGATGCTACATAGGTCACTAAAGATAAAGTGTCAGGAGAAATAAGCAAGATACAGGATCTGTTTAATCGCCATGTAGGTTCTCTTTATTGCACTCTCAAGACATAACAGTAAATAGAAGTTCACATTTTTAATGTAAATAAAATAGAAGTTGTACATGTAAGTTAACATTATCAATATAAAATAAAGTGTCAGTTGTATCAAGACTATATAATAACAGTAATAACAATAATATAAAATAAACTGTCCCAGGTGTAGGGATAGGCTCAGCAGCATACACACCTTAGTGCAAAGTTGTGTGTCAGTATTAATAAAAACAATACAAAATGAACTGTCCCAGGTGTAGGTATAGGCTCAGCAGCAGACATTGTTAACAGTGGCAACTATAGGGAGGAAGACCTGTTGGCTTTCACTAGCTGGGAAAGCACTTCCAGAAACCCATTCTGAAAAGTGGTTTGTCGCTCATCCTGGCGCTCCTGGCGCCGCTCCCGCTGCGCCGACACTTCATCCTGGCGCTCCTGGCGCTGCGCCGACACTTCATCCTGGCGCTCCTGGCGCTCCTGGCGCTCCTGGCGCTATGCCGACACTTCATCCTGGCGCTCCTGGCGCTGCGCCCACACTTCATCCTGGCGCTCCTGGCGCTGCACCGACACTTCATCCTGGTGCTCCATCTGCCACTTCAACACTTCAGCCTGGCGCTCCATCATCGTGAGCATCTTGTCCTCCGTTTCCTGGGCCTTGGTTACCAGCACCATCTGATCCCCGTGCATCGACTCTTTCACCACGGCACGCCGGTCCTCCAACGCCTCGACGGTGTCAAAGAAATTCACATCCCGTGCCCGCTTTCCTAAGAGGGAAAATAAGCAAGATACAAGATCTGTTTAGTCGCCATGTAGTTTTACAACATACTAGGAATGTGTTTACTAGTCAACATTGGACAGGGTGCAGGCTGGGACAAGACAGTGTACACAATGCAGGTGTATAGTAGAAGATAATATAGGATCAAATAGCATAATATATATATATATATATATATACACACACACTGAGTGTGTGTGTGTGTGTGTGTGTGTGTGTGTGTGTGTGTGTGTGTGTGTGTGTGTGTGTGTGTAGCTGCCGCTCAAAGTGCCCTTATTTATTTATTAAGTCATGTGACCTCTAGCCCGGATGTTTACAATGTTTGTGAGAGAGTAAAAACGGCACGAAAATGTGTAAACGCCGGTCTAGGCGAATACGTTTTCACGCTGTTTCATAATTGTACCAAGAAGGAAATAAACGTGATTGTGAACATCAGTTCGATGCGTAACGTTCTTTCAAGACCAAGTTACAGTGTGTGTACCTTTGCGTTTGGTTGCTGGTAAGGGGGACGAGCAAGCGCTGTGATCTGGAAGGGAAAGCTCGCTTGTTTCCAATCCTGAGAGTTGTCCAGCCTCGCCTGAAACACACGATTAGTGCCATGAGTTAGTGAAGCAAATTACAGAAACACTGCACAGTTATTCACAAGTCAAAACGTTTTCATAGCGGCCGAGAATATCTAGCTAGCTAGATGTTATTAGCCAGCTCGGGGCCGGTGTTAGCCAGTTCAGCCTAGCATGGCTAGCTCGATCTACTGAGCAAATAAAAGTACATCTGAGACCATTATTGTGCAGATTAAAACCCCAGTGCATGTAGTTGATTTTACCTTCGTCGTGGTCGTGGTCGTTGGCCACTGAATCCGCCGTTTGAGCGGCGGCCTCCCACACCATCGTGCCCGAATCGAAGGTCGATGCTGTGCCGGAGAAAGGTCTGTGGCCTAGCAGAGCATCCAAGCGCTCGTACCATTTACTGGTCTTCCGGTCGTTACCACTCTTGTTATAATAGTCTTTAATTTGTTTGTAGTCCTGCCTGAGTTTCTTTATTTTTAGCCGGCGTGCCGTGGCGCTGTGCACGATTCCCAGCTTGAGTAACTTTTTCGAACAACGCTCGAACATTTTGGAGTTGGGTACTGGCTTCAGTAGCATTCCCTGGGTCGCGTCCTCGGCGTAGATTTCCAGAAGCGCCGACACCTCCTCATCACTCCACCGCTCAAACAAACTACTCTCCGTTGGTGCGCTAGGTTTATGTAGCGAGCAAATAAAATGGCGGCTCTACAAAACATTTCAGAGTTTTACGGGGCGCGGTTTGCAATTCGCCCAGCCAATCAGAACTGGGGCACTTTTTTCCCCAAGGAAAGTACGATCTCTCAGCAGGCACTAAAAATGGGGGTAAAAGTTCCCGAGATTAAGTGCTCTTTTTGGTGTGAACGCGACATAAGGGGTACTAACGGAACTAAACGCGAAAAGTTCGGTGAAAAGTACTCCGGTTTGAACGCGGCTATTGAGTTTAAACATCTCCAAATGTCATCACATAAACACAATACATGTTACTAATCCTTACAGTGTAAGTGTAAGGCTTACACTTACACTTACAGTCATTGCTTTCTGACGGACTTGACCCTTTTACTCTTCAGGTTGCATAGCGAAAATTAGTAGCATTCTACTCATAGACTGTATATATAAAGATTCTACTGCCTTTCTTGGGCGGTGTCCGTCAGACGAAAAACGTAGAGCCAATCAGGAACTGAGAATTTAGTCCAACTTCCTTTTCAATCAAACTCACTTCCTTTTCAATCATACTCTCTCACACTCATAACTATTCTTATGCACACACCCTATCATTCTGTTAATACACATACCTATAGTCATTCACATGAACTATTATTACCTCTTATATAAGCTATTATTCGGCCTTTCATTCACTGCTATTCTGTTTTACATATATGACTATTGTTATTAACATGAAATACTATTCCCTCTTATATAGGTTATTATTCTGTCTTACATACATTGTTTACCGATTACACACATACTACTATCCTCTTTCACATACACTATTATAATGTTCTATTAGATTATAGTTGTTTGTGAAAGACGATAGTGGTGTGTGTACGAGAGTATGATGGTGCGTTTAAGAGATGTTGTTTTTGTGTGTGAGAGAGAATAGTTATTTATGTATGATAGTATGATAGTAAATGAAGGAAGGAATGACAGTACGTTAAAGACAGCCTCTCATAGCACAACACGCCTCCCACACACTAAACTCTTCACACACACACACTAAACTCTGCACACACACACACTCAACTCTTCACACACACACTAAACTCTGCACACACACACAGTAAACTCTTCACACACACACACTAAACTCTGCACACACACACACTCAACTCTTCACACACACACTAAACTCTGCACACACAAACAGTAAACTCTGCACACACACAGTAAACTCTTGAAACACACACTAAACTCTTCAGTAAACTCTGAACTGTCTGTACTACTGTATTAACAACGTGTCACGTGTTCTGAATTGACCAATCAGAATCGAGTATTCAACTAGCCGTGTAATAAGTTGTTAGTAGCCTTAAGGGCCTACACAGTTATTGTGCTATACCACATTGCCTTTCACTGGATGTATAATGAGCTGCACTAAACTACATTTGAGCATTTAAAATACCTAGCCATTCTTTTGTGGTTATTTTGGTGAAAGCAACTCAAAAGTAATATAACATTTATTTATTTTATTTTATTTAACCTTTATTTAACCAGATAAAAGCATTGAGATAAAATCTCATTTTCAATGCTGACCTGGCCAAGAAGGCAGCAACGTTACACATAACACAGAACACAGACATATGAAATACAGAGAACACAACTAAGAAAACAAAAGAGGAAAAAGCAGTCACTACATTGTGCACATTAGGACAGTAAGAAAGGTGCTACTTATTACTGCAAGAGCAGCAGGTAGTGTGACAAAAGTAGTGTGACTCATTACATTTCAGAGACAGTAATATTGTAATGTAACTTATTACTTAAAAGAGACAGTAATAAGTCATATGTACTGTATTACATTTAACTTGCCCAACACTGGACAGGACACATGTTTCTTGATGCTGATTCTAAACATCTGTCTGAAATATTGTGTAGGGTTTCTCTCTGAGTGAAAGCAGAATGGGTTTAAAAAGATCTCCATGTACTGTTGGCAGTGTTTCAGGTAGAATGAGTTGCAGTCTGATTGTTCTCTGAGTTCTCGTCATCAGAGAAAAATGCAGGGCGTGTCAGAACCGGTCTAACAAGTCGTGACTGTTTTTATCTAACTCTTCGACGCATAACTAAAGTTAAACAGTCACATCTTATCTGGATAAGTGGTGCAAAGTGCAGAATACCGTGATAAGGGAGACGTGTGTGTAGTCTTTACTATTAAACACAATCGCTGGTAGATAGCCACAGAAGTCGTATCACAAGTTAAACTGAGCGGATCACAGCTCCACAGCTGAAGACTTCTCCACGCTGCTTTCAAACTGTGAGTAAATAACGTGTGCTTCACTTGTAGGCTGTCTGAAGGTGTACACAGGTCTCAGATGGACTTGGTATCACATTAAGAACGATATTCAGTAATAAGTCTGGCAAAAATAACTGGTTTAAATGATTTATTCAAGCTTGCAATGTTTTGAACAGACATCCCCAGTCAGCTCATTGTCATTTTGTAGTCCTCGCTTCGCGTCCGGATATCGGCATCGCAACCACAACCTCACTGGTACTGAATGTGCATGTAAACGACAGAAGAAGATTTCCGTGTGTGTGCAGTGTGTGTGTGTGTGTGTGTGTGTGTGTGTGTGTGTGTGTGTGTGTGTGTGTGTGTGTGTGTGTGTGTGTGTGTGTGTGAATACCGTCTTTAACGTACTGTCATTCCTTCCTTCATTTACTATCATACTATCATACATAAATAACTATTCTCTCTCACATACAAAAACAACATCTCTTAAACGCACCATCATACTCTCGTACACACACCACTATCGTCTTTCACAAACAACTATAATCTAATAGAACATTATAATAGTGTATGTGAAAGAGGATAGTAGTATGTGTGTAAACGGTAAACAATGTATGTAAGACAGAATAATAACCTATATAAGAGGGAATAGTATTTCATGTTAAAAACAATAGTCATATATGTAAAACAGAATAGCAGTGAATGAAAGGCAGAATAATAGCTTAAATAAGAGGTAATAATAGTTCATGTGAATGACTATAGGTATGTGTATAAAACAGAATGATAGGGTGTGTGCATAAGAATAGTTATGAGTGTGAGAGAGTATGATTGAAAAGGAAGTGAGTTTGATTGAAAAGGAAGTTGGACTAAATTCTCAGTTCCTGATTGGCACTACGTTTTTCGTTTGACGGACACCGCCCAAGAAAGGCAGTAGAATGCTACTAATTTTCGCTATGCAACCTGAAGAGTAAAAGGGTCAAGTCCGTCAGAAAGCAATGACTGTAAGTGTAAGCCTTACACTTACACTGTAAGGATTAGTAACATGTATTGTGTTTATGTGATGACATTTGGAGATGTTTATACTCAATGAGAAAATGCGTTAGCATTCGCGCTAGCGTTAACATACACGCTAGCGTTAGCCATACTAGCCTGTACACATGCTTATTGAACAGCTAGTGTAAATAACCCCATTTGTGTTCTGTGAGACTGAAGGGGATGTTGTATTGTTTTTGTTGCTTTCGTTGCAGTTTTATTTACGTCTTAAATGTAATTTAGGTTAACTTCCTTTTTCAGTTAGATGCTTTTATTTTGAAGGCGAGTTAACGCTGTTGACAGGAAGTTGTTGTTGCTATGGAAACAACATGACTGCGAAAAGAAATATCTTCTATAAAGACGGAGAAAGTAAAGAATAAAGTGTATGTTTAAATGTTAGCACCCCCCGAAGAGGCACAAGGTTGGTATTTACTATAATATAAAATTGTAGGTTGTGTCCTAATTCGTTTATAAGCTGTTTTGTAGCTTTGCTGTCTGTTTATAGTTAACTTTTGGTAGTATGCTAAAGTGATTCTAATACGGATTGAGCCTAAATGTATTTGTTATTTTTGTGTCTTTATAGCTCTTACGTTGACTCTGGAGTTTCAATAAATTCTAAATCATCAGTAAAGTCTACGACCATATTTCGGAGGGATATGCTACAGCTAGCATTAGCTATATTTACCTTGTTTACACTTAGCGGTCCTAAGTGTTAATCTGTGTATGTTACACTTGCATGTATGAGATCATTAAGTGCCTTGTATCTTCTTTTTGTATAGTTTCACTCCGTTTGAATGTCAGTGGACTGCAAATAATTAAATAAAGCAGCATGGCTGCGCATTCCCTGGCTCTCAAAAGAGTTTGGCTGGCTGTTTAATCTGTTCACACTGAGACAGTACAACACAGTACACCTATTGTGTAAAGCAGGTCACACAGTATGATCACAAATACATAAAATCTGTTAATAAAAGTTTTTATTAAGAATTATACAGGCTGCATATCATGTGTTCTCAGCCTTGGAGAAACTTGACATGTTTTGGTATGTGTCTGAACCTCTCTTTAGTGGTTTAATAAAACAGATATTTCAACGTGTGCCTACTTTGTTCATGTGCTGTTGAGGTTAATTTCAGTAGTTGCGTGCTATAATGTATTTACAAAGTGTGAAGAGGAGGCAACTTTAGAATAGGGAACCTGTTCAGGTCAATTAGAGTCAAACTACTAGCTTATTGGTTATGAACAAGACTTCACTTTAAAATAGGGAACATATTCTTCTGTGGAGGCGTGTCGCAGTGGGTTGTGTGTAGGTTCGGATCAGGGGGTCACAGGTTCAAACCCCACTGCAGTCAGCATGTCGTTGTGTCCCTGAGACACTTCATCCCAAAGTGCTCCTGTGGGGATTGCCCACAGTATTGAGTATGTAAGTTGCTTTGGGTAAAAGCGTCTAACAAGTAACATGTAATGTAATGTAATTCTTCGATAGAAATACCTAATTTTGAGTTATTTAGACTTAATTAACACTTATAGTTTCATGTCTTGTTACATAAGGATATATCATATTTGTTAAGTGTGGAGAATTACTATTCTTGTGGTACTACTGCCTTATTAGGCCCATATTGAGCATATTAAGACCAAACAACTTCCTTACTTGCAATAAATAAGCACCAATTAGAGGGTTATTGAGGAAAGACTCTCAGCTAATGGCCTATTACTCGTAGAATATGGTCATGTAGAATAAGGCATTAATAAGTGTTTTATAGTGACTAATAAAGAGCCAATATACTGCTAATATGCATGTTAATTAACAACTAGTTGATGGTGAATTGGTGCACCTTAATATAAAGTGTTAACAAAAGTTCTTATTGCAGCTCAAATGTAGCTAGCAGTGCTCTGAGCAGCTTCAGGCTTTGTTTTCAAGGCTGTAAACCAGTCAAGGAATGAATATTTAAACTGGCTTCCTGTTGGATCAACCTGACGTCCTTTTAAAGTATACTCTCTCACAACCAGTACAATGTCCTCTCACATAAACTGTCATAAGCTCTCAAAAACACAAGCATGTCTTTCACATACACACTACTATACCCTCATACAGAATACAAGTCTCTCTCTCACATACACTATCATTCTCTCTCACACACACACACTACTAGCCCCGCAGACAGACGACAACGCCGCGCGCACAGACACGAGCAGGCGCGCGCACACACTCACACGACGAGACCCGCAGACAGACGACAACGCCGCGCGCACAGACACTAGCAGGCGCGCGCACACACACACACACACACACACACACACACACACACACACACACACACACACACACACACACACACACACACACACACAGACACACACACAACAACACACACACACACACACACACACACACCACACACACACACACTACTATACCCTCATACATACTACAATTCCTCTCTCACATACACTATCATTCTCTCTCACACACACTACTATTCCCTCATACATATTACAATTCCTCTCTCACATACACTATCATTCTTTCTCACACACAAAGTTTTCTATCTTGCATACACTACTAGAGTATTATATTGTAGTATGATGTTGTCTGTAAGTGGGAATAATAATGTTTCTAAGAAAGTACAGTTTGGTATGTAAGTAAGTTTGATTTATGGCCCAGACAAAAGTGTGTGAAAGAGGGTATGATTGTGTGTGTAAAAGTGTTTAACTGTATAAAAGAGTTTAATGGTGTATGTGTGAGATTCTGATATTGTTTGTAAGACCAAGTATGAGTTGTGAGCTAGACGGTCTCTCATAGGTTTGTGTCGCTGTATCGACGCATAACTAAAGTTAAACAGTCACATCTTATCTGGATAAGTGGTGCAAAGTGCAGAATACCGATTTGATAAGGGAGACATGTGTGTAGTCTTTAATATTAAACACAATCGCTGGTAGATAGCCACAGAAGTCGTATCACAAGTTATCCTGGGCAGATCACAGCTCCACATCTGAAGACTTCTCCACCCTGCTTTCAAACTGTGAGTAAACAACGTGTGCTTCACTTGTAGGCTGTCTGAAGGTGTACACGTATGAAGGTAGATATGGTGCAAAATGCGAGAGCGTGTAAAACCTGATGTGAGCACTTGCAGAAAAGAAATCTGAGCTTGTGTGCATACATTTACACTTGTATAACATATCCACGTATCTGTGAACCACATTTGAAGTCACAGAAGAAAAGAAAAAAGTTGTGTAGCTTGTAGAAAAAAAATGAACTTAGTGATGAAATGTTCACTTGCAGAAAAAAATATATTTTTTAAATATATTTTCCATTACAACTGCAACTTGGTTATTACAACCTCTCAAATCAGTCATTACAACTTCACGAATCTGCTCTGTGGCAGTATACATCCACGAATCTGCGGCTTTGACTTTTGCTACACTTCTTGCGATGAATGTGTCGCAAAAGTAATTTTCACCTGTAGATGTGGGGGGAGGGAGGGGGGTTGGAGCGAAGGGGCGGAGCTATCAGAACGACGAGGCTCGGGTCAGTCACACAGTCACAGCCATAGTCAGGTCGAACCAGATGACTGCGGGGCTAACGGTCCGTGTCGCTACCAGTCCGCTGACATGGCGCGTCAATCAACGGTAAGTTTTGCCCATTACTTCTCCAGTATTACTTTGAATATTATTATTGTGATTGAGGATGAAATCCGCTATGAAGACCACCGTTTTATATCGTGCAGTTTAGCGGCAAAATAACGTCAGTTAGCCAGCTAACGCTAACTTTGATGAATTTATGCTAGCTAAACAAGTAGTTGTTGTAGTCTATACAGCAGTAATTAATATATTATAGCCTACTGCTTTGGCACTAACGGTTGATAACCGTTTATGAAAATAAAACCAATTGAACTGTACTGAAATAAAGACAAGTTTTATAATTGTCTTGGGCTCCTGCTATGTTTTTAAAGCCTTTGTAAATTATCCATGCTATTTAGAACGAAGACTTCAGAATCTTAAAATCCCTTGACGTTTGTATGCAATTGTGCTAAATTCAACACTGGAATCAAGCAAATATGCTTATACAGTAATAGTATTGACAATCTAAAAAAACTGAGCAACTCAACGGTTCACTTTTATATTTCTTATTGTCTAAAGCATTTATTATTTTCATTTTCCCCCTCTCATATTCAGTGTGGACGGATTGAGACAGCGTGGTGTCCAGAGAGCTGCAGGGACTTCAGGGAGAAACCTCCGTGTGATGGACGTCCTGTCTGTTGGTTTGGAGAGGACTGAGGGTCTTTCCTCTGCGAGGAGGACCAGGCCTGATGGAGGAGCCCATGCTGGGCATAGCTGATACCAACTGCACAGGCCTAGTCTGTCACTTTATTTGACTAAATGTGTTTACTTATACATGTAATAGGTTTACACCTTCTGTCCATATGTGCTTTTATTTAAAACATTTTTGATGAACTTTTGGTTCACATTTCAATAAATTGTATTTGTATTTGCACTCCTTTTGTCCATTATTCTTACTGAAAATGTTAGATTACACATTCACATCCGACTGAAGATTGGCCCCATTTATTTGTGACGTTGCAAACTCTGCGGTACAAGGTACATGTTGTGAAGCTCATAAAGTGAGGCAAATAGAAATAATCAGCTGATGGAGTGTAGATGTGGAAATAGGTGCATTCGATCAGCTGACTGTGTTTTCACAATAAAAGTAGTTTCTTAGTGAATGTCCTGTACTGGTCTTAACATCTCATAACATCAGCTTTTAATTTTCCTCTTGGATGTTCTTCTTGACCCTCAGAGAAGGAGAAAATGTTGAGTCGTGTCTTTCAGGCATGTCCTTTCCTAACAAAAATTACAGGAAACATAAAACATATTATTGCAGAACAAGTGTGTTATTTATGAAAGAGGTGTGTTTGTGTTTTTAGGGGCTGTAGATATAATTATTTTGTAATGGTAATGTTTTATTTTATTTCAACAGTGAGCTACAAAGACAATCAGATTATGAATGAACAGTATGAAATTCATCAACATTGACATTTTATTATCAAAATAATATTGAACTGTTATCAAAACTTACTGCAACTGTAGAAGCTTGCTCTGTTGTCTCACTGAAAGAATCACTTTTACCACGTTTTTACAGACAATATTGAGAGATAAATAGCAGTTCTCACTATGTGTTAAATAGCTTTGCCTTCAATACATTAAATTAGAAAGCTGACAAAGTCATATTGCTTGTTAACATCTAAATTTAACCTTTTGCATGGAAAATACCCTCAACTTCACTGCTGTGTAGGTGATCTAGTATTTAGTATTGTTTAATGGAATATATATCAGTGTATTAAAGTCAATACTTCATTTATTTAAACCAATATCTTTCTTGATTCTTTGTACAGTATGAAAAAAGAGTCTTTGTACCTGTGCTGAAGTTCACTGCTGTGAGGAGTCCAGTTCTGTCTCTCACTCTCTGGTCCAGCCTGTCTGCATCACCTGGACACTTTAAACAAACAGATATATATGTAAAGAACCATGTGTACAAACAATATAACTTATTCTCTTCTGTTGAACATGTTGGATTGTGTATTGCCCGAGTCAGGGTCCTTTTTATTTTACTGTAACTTTGGAAGTTGTGTTACCAATGCTTACTGTTTATTTGATACCAATTTGGTAATGCAATTAATAAAAACAACAAGATTTGGGTTCGTTCTTCAGATGACTGTGACGTTAACGTGTAAGCTCAATAATGAACTCCAGCTCAACCAACCATATTGTAATATCCAAGTAATCATCTTGAAATATGACATTAATAATTGTAATATACACACATCTTATTGTGAGGTTGATTTCACATACACTACTTCGACGTTAGCTTGTCTACATACTTCAGCATAGCGGATTTAAATTAACCTTAGCGATGCATACAGTTACTACCTACATAATAAAATATCTCTCTAAGTTACAAGGATGACCTTATTTTATCAACCTCAAACAGAAGCCGTTTGTTCTACAGTATTATCCCACTTAACGCTTAACACTTGTCTATTTCGTTTTAACCTTTATATATACAGTCTATGGTTTTAACTTGGAGGCTACGAATAGCATCGTTAGCACAGATGTAGCTACCACTTGCTTACACGTTAACCCAAGCCTTAACATTCATTACGTAGCTGATTAAAATCATAAACACATAAATAAGTACTCGAATTTCACTTACCGCAAAACCGCATTCAAGCACCGTCTGTTTTAACCGCAGAGCGAGTCACAATAGTCCGATATAAGCATGAAGACACGGACCGTTAGCCCCGCAGTCATCCGGTTCGACCTGACTATGGCTGTGACTGTGTGACTGACCCGACCTTGTCGTTCTGATAGCTCCGCCCCTTCGCTCCAACCCCCCTCCCTCCCCCCACATCTACAGGTGAAAATTACTTTTGCGACACATTCATCGCAAGAAGTGTAGCAAAAGTCAAAGCCGCAGATTCGTGGATTTATACTGCCACAGAGCAGATTCGTGAAGTTGTAATGACTGATTTGAGAGGTTGTAATAACCAAGTTGCAGTTGTAATGGAAAATATATTTAAAAAATATATATTGTTCTGCAAGTGAACATTTCATCACTAAGTTCAATTTTTTTCTACAAGCTACAACACTTTTTTTTTTTCTTCTTTGACTTCAAATGTGGTTCACAGATACGTGGATATTTTATACAAGTGTAAATGTATGCACACAAGCTCAGATTTCTTTTCTGCAAGTGCTCACATCAGGTTTTACACGTTCTCGCATTTTGCACCATATCTACCTTCATAATTCTAAACATCTGTCTGAAATATTGTGTAGGGTTTCTCTCTGAGTGAAAGCAGAATGGGTTTAGAAAGATCTCCATGTACTGTTGTCAGTGTCTGATTGTTCTCTGAGTTCTCGTCATCAGAGCAAAATGCAGGGCGTGTCAGAACCGGTCTAACAAGTCGTGACTGTTTATGTCTAACTCTTAATACTCTGAATAAGGGAAGGAGTGTGAAGGGCCCGTCTTCCAACACTGACCTGGTTTCACTGAATAGCCTTGAAAATGTCAAATGTTTTTTTTAAGTTTTAGATTATACATCTGGGACTAGATTGCCCGAATTCGAAAAACATATATAACAGTACATGTTTTGATATATATGTTGGGCTATACAAAAAATTAGCATGAAAAGTAAATGGGAGATTATATCAAACTTCAAAAATATTCTTCCCCTCGATTTGAACCTCATTGTAACTTAGTTATCAGGGAACTTGCTTTTCCTATTTTCAATGATATATCAAAAACACATTTCTTATCAGTTCACAAAAGACCTCGTTTTAATTAAAGTCCGTAACTGCTTTCATGTAATTAACGTACATATTTTAAGCCAAAAAATTATGTTTTTTCTAAACCTAACAAAGAAGTTTTGTTGAATGGTTACTGAGCGCAGTTCAGTTGTGTGGGATATCTTGTGGGGGGCTGGGCTGTACATTACCTGTGGATGTACATTGAAGTGACTGTTTGTGTGTGCTGTGATACACTGTGACACACTAACACATATTTAGGGGTCACACTGGGTTTCTGTGTGGTTCTGGGGCTGTGGGGAACATTCTGGGCTGATCAGGTCCTGTTGAGGCTCCAACAAGGTTCCTGAATATCTGAGAGGAGGGGCTGCCTGTGATGTAAAGCTTGTGGTAATGAATGAGCATGTTGTTGTGTGTGTGAAGGTGGGGGCTCTGCTATGGATCAGTGTGAGGACAGAGAGGAGGAAGCCCCCCCCCCCCCCCTCTAAAAGCTCTGGGGAACATGACATCTCCACCTGTCCATCACTCTTCTCCATGTCAGAGCTCAGCACTCATTATTCACTCAAAGCTCTGTGTGTTGTGTTCAAGCCCATAGCAAACACCACACTCTGCTGGACCTGGACCTGGACCTGGACCTGGACCTGGACCTGGACCTGGACCTGGACCTGGACCTGGACCTGTGTCCAGTAACCAGCTTACTGCCAGAGACCAGAACCAGGTGTGTGAGTCACTCTCTTATTTCTCTCATGGTACTTATTTGTATAGTGTAGGTCAACTTGGTTTGCAGAAGTAAGAAAAGGTATCCATTGTGGCACATGCTTCATACAATATAGACAACAGACACATCTTTAAAAAGTCCCTCTGGCTCCAGAACATCCACAAAGCTGTTTTTAAACCTCTTGGTTCTACACCTTTCAGGGTTCTTACACCTTTTCCAAAGTCAAATTCAAGCACTTTTCAAGCATTTTCAAGGTGCATTTTCAAGCTTTTCAAGCATCTTACAGCTGTTGTAAATTACATATTTATATACACATACTTATACTCAAATGATTATTTCCCTACCTCACATTAAAACAGATGTTCTTTATGCTATAAACAACCAAATGTGTGTTTCATAATAGCATTCTACATGAGGATGAACAATTTAAATTTTTAGAAAAGAAAACTAAGTTTAATATTTCAAAATGAGTGACCCATCTGTACGTAGACTGGGCATCCCATATAACCTGGCTGAGCCAATATAAAACAATCAGCCAAATAACTTTTCAATACATTATTGATTACTATTTTTGAGGTACTTTTAGGTTGGCAGTAAACACAAGTCAGAGGTAAATGGTGTACTTTTACTCCACTCCATGTATTTAATAGCTTTAGTTACTTTACAGATGTGGATGAATGATGTGAAATATAATCAAGTGTTTAATCAGACTTTAGTTCCACCTGGAGTAAATTCACAAGCTACCCTGCAGTATACAAAGTCATTCAAACTAGCTGCACCTTTACCAGCTTTGATAACACTTTAATGATCAATTATTATAAAACATATCATATACAATTATTAGGGATGCTCCGATCGCCAATTTTGGGGCCGATCGCCGGAATCAGCTTGTTCCAGAGGTAGATAAAATAGCTAAGTGTGTTAGGTCTAACTCTTAATGTGTGTTCTGCTCCGCTCACCGGTCCGTCACAGCGGGTGGAGCTGCAGGATTTCTGCTTCACACACACGTTGCATACCGCTATTTTATTGTCATTTTCGGACACTTAAAATACTGCCAGACTAGTGAAGCCATTTTGGCGAGCTTGTTTTGCCGCGCACAGAGAAAAGTGTCATGTATTTTACATGCAACGATAGCCTAATCTAAAATGCTCTACTACGGCGTACCTTTCGTGTGGTGTGTGGCTCGTCAGCGCAGACTCTCGCATCGTTATTGTTGCACACTTTGCAGGAGGCTACTCTTGGGCTTCGCTTGACCCTCGTCTTAGCCATGGCTTGTATTTGTCTTCTGCTAGCCAACGCTCGTTGAAACGGCAACCTCCTGGCATACTGTCATCTATCACTCTCATCAGAATGCCCAGGTCACACACGTAACAAAAAGACTTGCCGGTCACGCGCATTGCGCGGGAAGGCCGGGGCGGAGCTGTTTTATGTAAAAGCGAAGCAATTAAGTGCGCTCCGACTTCTTTATTTTCTTTTAATCTAAAAAGCGAAGTAAAGCATTTACAATTTCAAGCACTTTATCCCAAATTCAAGCACCATTCCCAAAATGCAAGCACTTTTCAAACCTTGAAAACACCTCGTACAATTTCAAGCATTTTCAAGGATTTCCAGCACCCGTACGCACCCTGACTTTTAGGAAGATTAACCTCCGGCCCGAAGGAAGAAGCTGAAGCTCAGGTTGCAGGGGGTGGGAGTCTTCATTGAACATGGAGTTAGACAGCCTCTGTAACTGTCTGATGAGCAGGGGCTCCAGGTTTAGCTGTGACTCACCAGTCAGTCTGGTAGACCACTTTATGATCTGACTGAGACAGTTTCTGCTCTTTTAAGTCAGGTTACCAAACCAAGACATTAAAGGAAAAGACAGAACTAGTGCTGACTGTCTTCAAGTTTAGGATTGACTTCCTGAATGTCGACATCTGAATTGAAGCCATTGTTACGCCCAGGTCTAAGGGAACCTAGGCGCAGCACAAAATGTGCACTCTCCCCACTCTTCCCATTCCCAAGAACATGGACACCGAGACAGAGAAAGCCGTTTGGTAATTTTAATTACCAAAGTTTTTACAAGGAGGCGCAACAACCCACAAAACAAACAAATCTTTGAACACATAAATCTTGCCTAACAAATAAGAAAAATAAACGTACAGGCTTCTTACCTACTCTGACGTAAAAACAGGAGAAAACGAGAATAAACCAAAAGAAAAGGGTTTCACACTCCTGGGCAAATTCAAGCGTGTCCACAAGGACAGGTTAAAGTAGTTTCTACTTCTGAGGTTTCAAAACAAGCAAGATTACTGGTGTACGGTATAAGTACACCCACAGCACAACAGGACAGATATATAAATACACAACAGTGTTGGGAGTAGGAGAAGTCGAGTCAGAGAGGGCAGAGGAACTGCACGGCTGCAGCTTAAATGCTCCCGTCTCCTCAGGTGGACCAATCAGCCTGTCGAGGGCAGCCAATCAGCTACCGGGCACCACCTGCTTACTCACACGCAGCCACACAGACACAGGAGGAAGAAGAAATATCTGCACACAAATGACATAACGACCCAGGGTCGTAACACCATTCAAAGTCACATGGCAGCTGTTTTTTGGATCCCGAAGGCCTGTTATGGTTTTCAAAAGTACAAAGTAAGAACATATAGTTCTGTAAGATAAATATTTTCTTTCTTGGTATCTTTGCTCTGCAGGTAGAAAAGATGGAGACACCTAAAGTCCTATTAAAAACTTTAAAACATTTGAAGGAAGAGGAATTTGAAGAATTCAAGTGGCACCTGAAGGAGAAGGTCCTAGAACTCCCAGGAATCCCAACGAGTGAACTAGAGAAAGCAAACCGGATGGAAACAGTGGATCTGATGCATACGTACTACGGCAGACACGACATTAATGTGACCATAGAAGTTTTGAAGAAGATCCCGAGGAATGATCTATTAGAGGCATTATCAGAATCTTCATCAGAATCCTCATCAGAATCCTCATCAGACCCTAAAGGTAGGTCTTTAAAAAAGAGTGTACCAAAATATAGCTATATATATAAATATAATTTTTTTTATTTTTCACAGCCATGCATCATGTTTTTAGACTCCTGATATACCCCTCAGAGAACCATCACCTCCACATGGTGTTGGGGCTGAGGTACCCCTGAAAGCAGAGAGGTCAGGGTCACTAGTTTCTGGCAGGGTCAACCTGTTGGTTCCAGGTGAGGGGTAGTAGAACCTTTATAGATCAGCATTTTAGGAATCCAATTACCTTCCAAAATATATCGCCTTTCGTCTCTTCCTAACCACAATTCCTTAACCTTTGTGAAACATATTGGGGTTAATGATAGGACTTAGGGAAAGAGACTGCTGTTCTTTGAGAATCCGACCGCACTGACACTATCAAACGTCATTATGATGCGCCAGCCGATCTTATTAAGAAGGAGAATTCTACCACTGAACCACCAATGCTATATCAACGAGTTTCTCCTGCTGGGACATTGGAGATATGTAATACAAGTGGGTGATGCTAAAAGCCAGTATTGGGGAGGGGATGGATCAGAGGAATGACCAGAAAGTCATCAGTGGGCTCTGAAATGGCAGTGAGTCCTTGAGTGCTACGTTTTCCCAGGAAACGGCCAATTCTGTTAGGAATGAGGTTTGTCCTGCCGAACTGTCAGATATCTCAGGAGGGGGAGTCCTGTATAAACCCTGGCTGTTTTCCACAGTGTAGGTTAGCTGCTGACTCAGTCTCAGGATGTTGAATGGGACTGATGCACACTGAGTTCAGGAGGCAGAGCTGAGGGCTTGGAGAACAGCTGCTCAGGTGGTCAGAAGGGGCCACAGGGACACACTGTGGAGGTTTGTCCTGACATAGGATTGGACAGTTGTGATTTAAATTCCTGTTCAATGTTGTATGGAGGCAGACAGTGTCATTTTCCATGTTTTAAAGGGGACTGTAGGGTAAGCTCTAAACATCAGAGGAGCACATTGCTGAATCTCACTGGGATTGCTCACTGCAGATTCTGTCCTAGTCATTACTAACGGCCCAGCCCCCTACAGGTGGAAGGAGGTATCATTTGCCGTCCAACATGACTTGGTGAGGAAGGGACGGGTTATTGCTGTGACCCCCCAGGGTGTCTTGTAGATGGTAGGCTACTGCAGGAGTATACTGCGACACAGTAAGAGCCATCCACTTCCTGTATAACTGGAGAGAGAGCTGTGTCCACACCCTCAGTGGGTGTTGGGATCTGCTGGTATCATGCCTCATCTCCCAGCAGCAGGAATAAGAGTCAGTCAGGTTTAGGGCCATGGTTCTCTGTGGGAAAACTGATGGTTCTCTGTGGGGTGGAACTTATACTGGACAATGTACAGATATTTATGCAACACGATCCAGTGACTTGATATAAGGAAAATAACCTGCTATTTTGTCAGAAATGGGTCCAATTAGAAGGAAATATTTTGATGTGTCTTTCGTGTAAATGTCTTTCTTATTCATTCAGATATTCTCACTAAGTGCCAAGGTGAACTCAAATCAAACCTGAAGAAAACATATGAAAATATCAAATTTATGGAAAAATCTGAATCCCTACATAAAATCTACACGGAGATCTACATCACCAGGGGAGACACCACAGAGGTCAACAAGGAACATGAGATCAGACAGATCGAACAAGCATCCAGGAAACCAGACAGACCAGAAACACCCATCAGACAAGAAGACCTCTTTAAAGCCTCACCTGAAAGAGGTAAACCAATCAGAGCAGTGCTGACAAAGGGTGTGGCTGGCATTGGGAAAACAGTCTTAACACAGAAGTTCACTCTGGACTGGGCTGAAGGCAAAGCCAACCAGGACATCCAGTTCATATTTCCATTCACCTTCAGAGAGCTGAATGTGGTGAGAGAGAACAAGTACAGCTTGGTGGAACTTGTTCATCACTTCTTCTCTGAAACCAGAGAGGCAGGAATCTGCATGTTTGATCAGTTCCCGGTTGTGTTCATCTTTGACGGTCTGGATGAGTGTCGACTTCCTCTGGACTTCCACAACACTGACATCCTGACTGATGTCTCAGAGTCCACCTCAGTGGATCGGCTGCTGACAAACCTCATCAGGGGGAAGCTGCTTCCCTCTGCTTGCCTCTGGATAACCACACGACCTGCAGCAGCCAATCAGATCACTGAGTGTGTGGACATGGTGACAGAGGTCCGAGGGTTCACTGACCCACAGAAGGAGGAGTACTTCAGGAAGAGATTCACAGATCAGGAGCAGGCCGGCACCATCATCTCCCACATCAAGACCTCACGAAGCCTCCACATCATGTGCCACATCCCAGTCTTCTGCTGGATCTCTGCTTCAGTTCTGGAGGACATGTTGAAAACTGAGGGAGGAGAGCTGCCCAAGACCCTGACTGAGATGTACATCCACTTCCTGGTGGTTCAGTCCAAAGTGAACGTCAAGTATGATGGAGGAGCTGAGACAGATCCACACAGGAGTCCAGAGAGCAGGATGAAGATGATGGAGGCTCTGGGAAAACTGGCTTTTGAGCAGCTGCAGAAAGGCAACCTGATCTTCTATGAGTCCGACCTGAGAGAGTGTGGCATCGATATCAGAGCAGCCTCAGTGTACTCAGGAGTGTTCACACATGTCTTTAGAGAGGAGAGAGGAACGTACAAGAACACAGTGTTCTGCTTCGTCCATCTGAGCGTTCAGGAGTTTCTGGCTGCTCTTCATGTCCATCTGACCTTCATCAACTCTGGAGTCAATCTGCTGTCAGAAGAACCAACAAACTCCTGGTGGCCTAAAGTCTTTATATCCAAACCTAAACTAACAGATCTCTACCAGAGTGCTGTGGACCAGGCCTTACAGAGTCCAAACGGACACCTGGACTTGTTCCTCCGCTTCCTCCTGGGTCTTTCACTGCAGACCAATCAGAAACTCCTACGAGCCCTGGTGACGCAGACAGGAAGTAGCTCAGAGATCAACCAGAAAACAGTGAAATACATCAAGGAAAAGATAGGAAAGAACCCGTCTCCGGAGAAAAGCATCAACCTGTTCCACTGTCTGAATGAACTGAATGATCGTTCTCTAGTGGAGGAGATCCAACAGTCCCTGAGATCAGGAAGTCTCTCCACAGATAATCTGTCTCCTGCTCAGTGGTCAGCTCTGGTCTTCATCTTACTGTCATCAGAAGATGATCTGGAAGAGTTTGACCTGCAGAAATACTCAGCTTCAGAGGAGGCTCTTCTGAGGCTGCTGCCAGTGGTCAAAGCCTCCAGGAAAGCTCTGTAAGTGGAGATCAAACTACATTAACTAGGAACAGGTTGAGACATGAGAATAAAACTCTTTGTGTTCACTGCTGACCTTTCCCCAGGCTGAGTGGCTGTAACCTGTCAGAGAGAAGCTGTGAAGCTCTGTCCTCAGTCCTCAGCTCCCAGTCCTCTAGTCTGAGAGATCTGGACCTGAGTAACAACGACCTGAAGGATTCAGGAGTGAAGCTGGTATCTGCTGGACTGGAGAGTCCACACTGTGAACTGGAGACTCTCAGGTCAGAGTTCAGCTGATATGTTAACAGTCAGTGGTTTTGTTCAGCCATTTCTATCGACTCATTTCCAGTTTTATCAAATTAGAATAATAATACATTTAGATTCTCCTTCGTTTTTTTTAAATTTTTCTTCTTCAAAACAATAAACCACAAAACCATTATAACAATCTTATTATATTTTAAGACAGATGGCGTCACTTATCTTCATCTCAATGTATCTGACTGATTGACCAACCCAAACATGCACAGACAAATAGATGGTATCATTTGACAAAAGAACTAGAAAAGATTGTATGTTGAAACCTTGCGCTCAATCACATTTAATATTAAAGGAATGTTGTCATATTTATTCATTTCTTTCAAGGTTAACTGGCTGTAACCTGTCAGAGAGAAGCTGTGAAGCTCTGTCCTCAGTCCTCAGCTCCCAGTCCTCTAGTCTGAGAGATCTGGACCTGAGTAACAACGACCTGAAGGATTCAGGAGTGAAGCTGGTATCTGCTGGACTAGAGAGTCCACACTGTGAACTGGAGACTCTCAGGTCAGAGTTCAGCTGATATGTTAACAGTCAGTGGTTTTGTTCAGCCATTTCTATCGACTCATTTCCAGTTTTATCAAATTAGAATAATAATACATTTTGATTCTCCTTCGGTTTTTTGTTTATTTTTCTTCTTCAAAACAATAAACCACAAAACCATGATAACAATCTGATTATATTTGAAGACAGATGGCGTCACTTATCTACATCTCAATGTATCTGACTGATTGACAAACACAAACATGCACAGACAAATAGATGGTATAATTTGACAAAGGAACTAGAAAAGATTGTATGTTGAAACCTTGCGCCAGAGATGGAGTACTCGAGTCCTGGACTCGGACTCGAGTCGGACTCCAGTGTCGATTTTCGGGACTCGTGACTCGACTCGGACTCGCGCACTGATTGACGTGACTCGGACTTGGACTCGTGAATTCTCGCGCACGATGACTTGGACTCGGACTCGGACTCGTGAATTCTGGCGTACACTTGGACTCGGACTCGTGAATTTCCCCCCCACGATGACTCGGACTCGACTTGTACATTGACGCTCCGACTTAGACTCGGACTCGAGCAAGTTTTCTCTGGAGTCTGATGTCCTCTATCCCTGCGTGTGCACCTGCAAGGCGAGTTCACGTACTGGGCCCCGCTATTCCAGTCTAGAGATGTCCAGAGACACAGCCCGCATCGTGCTGTATGCTTTCACACATTCTGCTTCCACATTGGAAAAGAGCAGCGCAAAATGCTCGTTATGTGGAAAAAATATTGAAGAGAAGACTCCGTAACACATTACTCTAAGGATCGAGTTCAGACATATAGGCTGTCTTGAACACTATCATCAGAGTAACGTGATTCAGCCGATAACACGAAAGCACATGGCTACTTAACATACAGAATGAGGTCATTTTGCATGCTAAGTAGCCATGTGCTTTCTGGGGCTTAATCTTCATCAGTAAACCAATTTAACCGGAAAGGTTCCTTCAAAATAAGAGTCCCGATCTTATTACTATCAAAATAAAAGTGCAAAACGAAAACTTTACCATAGGAAAATATTGGCATACAAATATAATCACTTCTCTAAAAGGTAACTCATTTTAAATATAGTTAGACATATTATAGGTCATTTACAATAATAATAGTAATAATAATAATATTAATATTAGTAATACGCTTTCTATTTGTATAGTACTATTACAAGAATTGTAGCCAAACTGGCTTCACAGCAGTTCAATAGACAGATTAGTATAACATGACAGGATAAAAGCAATGTAGAGGAGCAGCTACATTTCAACACATATATCCACAAAGATTAATACATGAAGACTTGTGACCCGGACTTGACCCGGACACTCGTTGGGTGACTCGGACTTGGACTCGGACTCGAACACAGGTAATGATGACTTGGACTCGGACTCGACTCGGACACTCCTTGGGTGACTCGGACTTGGACTCGAACTCGAACACAGGTAATGATGACTCGGACTCGGACTCGACTCGGACACTCCTTGGGTGACTCGGACTTGGACTCGGACTCGAACACAGGCAATGATGTCTCGGACTCGGACTCGACTCGGACACTCCTTGGGTGACTTGGACTTGGACTCGGACTCGACTACGACTCTCCCTTGGTGACTCAGACTTGGACTCGGACTCATGTTGTCATATTTATTCATTTCTTTCAAGGTTAACTGGCTGTAACCTGTCAGAGAGAAGCTGTGAAGCTCTGTCCTCAGTCCTCAGCTCCCAGTTCTCTAGTCTGAGAGATCTGGACCTGAGTAACAACGACCTGAAGGATTCAGGAGTGAAGCTGCTGTCTGATGGACTGGAGAGCCCACACTGTGAACTGAAGACTCTCAGGTCAGAGTTCAGCTGATATGTTAACAGTCAGTGGTTTTGTTCAGCCATTTCTATCGACTAATTTCCAGTTTTATCAAATTAGAATAATAATACATTTCGATTCTCCTTCGGTTTGTTGTTTATTTTTCTTCTTCAAAACAATAAACCACAAAACCATGATAACAATCTGATTATATTTGAAGACAGATGGCATCACTTATCTTCATCTCAATGTATCTGACTGATTGACCAACCCAAACATGCACAGACAAATAGATGGTATCATTTGACAAAGGAACTAGAAAAGATTGTATGTTGAAACCTTGCGCTCAATCACATTTAATATTAAAGGAATTTTGTCATGTATTAATTTCTTTCAAGGTTAACTGGCTGCAACCTGTCAGAGAGAAGCTGTGAAGCTCTGTCCTCAGTCCTCAGCTCCCAGTCCTCTAGTCTGAGAGATCTGGACCTGAGTAACAATGACCTGCAGGATTCAGGAGTGAAGCTGGTATCTGCTGGACTGGAGAGTCCACACTGTGAACTGAAGACTCTCAGGTCAGAGTTCAGCTGATATGTTAACAGTCAGTGGTTTTGTTCAGCCATTTCTATCGACTAATTTCCAGTTTTATCAAATTAGAATAATAATACATTTCGATTCTCCTTCGGTTTTTTGTTTATTTTTCTTCTTCAAAACAATAAACCACAAAACCATGATAACAATCTGATTATATTTGAAGACAGATGGCGTCACTTATCTACATCTCAATGTATCTGACTGATTGACAAACACAAACATGCACAGACAAACAGATGGTATCATTTGACAAAGGAACTAGAAAAGATTGTATGTTGAAACCTTATGCTCAATCACATTTAATATTAAAGGAATGTTGTCATATTTATTCATTTCTTTCAAGGTTAACTGGCTGTAACCTGTCGGAGAGAAGCTGTGAAGCTCTGTCCTCAGTCCTCAGCTCCCAGTCCTCTAGTCTGAGAGATCTGGACCTGAGTAACAACGACCTGAAGGATTCAGGAGTGAAGCTGGTATCTGCTGGACTGGAGAGTCCACACTGTGAACTGAAGACTCTCAGGTCAGAGTTCAGCTGATATGTTAACAGTCAGTGGTTTTGTTCAGCCATTTCTATCGACTCATTTCCAGTTTTATCAAATTAGAATAATAATACATTTCGATTCTCCTTCGGTTTGTTGTTTATTTTTCTTCTTCAAAACAATAAACCACAAAACCATGATAACAATCTTATTATATTTTAAGACGGATGGCGTCACTTATCTACATCTCAATGTATCTGACTGATTGACCAACCCAAACATGCACAGACAAATAGATGGTATCATTTGACAAAAGAACTAGAAAAGATTGTATGTTGAAACCTTGCGCTCAATCACATTTAATATTAAAGGAATGTTGTCATGTATTAATTTCTTTCAAGGTTAACTGGCTGTAACCTGTCGGAGAGAAGCTGTGATGCTCTGTCCTCAGTCCTCAGCTCCCAGTCCTCTAGTCTGAGAGATCTGGACCTGAGTAACAACGACCTGAAGGATTCAGGAGTGAAGCTGCTGTGTGCTGGACTGAAGAGTCCACACTGTGAACTGAAGACTCTCAGGTCAGAGTTCAGCTTTTTATTTTCAAGCAGTTCAATTATTTTCATCCAGCTTTTTGTTCATGTTGATGAAGATGGTCCACCTCTGTATGATTTTCCTGCTGAGGTGACTTTTAAGAACACTGAGTTTACTGTATTCCCTGATTCCAGTCTGTCCGGCTGTCTGGTCACAGAGGAAGGCTGTGTTTCTCTGGCTTCAGCTCTGAGCTCCAACCCCTCCCATCTGAGAGAGCTGGACCTGAGCTACAATCATCCAGGAGACTCAGGAGAGAAGCTGCTGTCTGCTGGACGGGAGGATCCACTCTGGAGACTGGAGACACTCAGGTATGGACAGACTGACTTCCTCCTATTTTTCTAATTTCATCTCTGTCATCTCTGGTCTTCCATCATGAAGGACGTCTCATTTCCCTTGATTATGTTCACTGCAGTGAGTTAACCTTCAAGTCTTATTACATGGAAACAGCCATTCAGTCCAAACATCAGAACCACTGGTTTCCTGGCTCTAGGGAGGATAATGATTGTCAGTTTATGGATTTGGTTCTGACTGAGATATCTCATCAACTGCTAAATATGTTGAGATGAGATTCTGTTTGACATTTTAGACTCCCAGAGGGACGATCCGGACTCTTTAATATGCGTTCATTTGATGTAGGTTATTTTTGTGCTTATTAATTGTTTCACTTAGTTGTTTGTTTGTCTGTTTTTTGTTTCGTTAAACTTGGGGAGGTTGGTTCGGTTTTGTTTGTTTTCGGCAGCCAGTGTCTCTGCCAGTCGGCATCTCGGCGATCTATCCCAGCTGACTCGGACGCAAAGCATCAAAATCTGCGAATCTGTAAAAATGGATGAGTTTGACTACATTATATTCGCCACGTTGTCAGTCATGAAGTGCTTTAATGAGCGACCCGGTAAACTGAGGGCTCAAGCTAGCCGAGGAAGTGGCAAAGAAGGGATGTCCTTTAGTTTTGTTGAATCAGCTTCATATGTGCACGTTGTCTTGGTCAGGAGGAATGCATGTGCTTCTTTGGTGTTTAGCAGGAAAGCACATACAACAAGGATTGCTACTGTTTGGACCACAGTTTTGGTTTTCTGCAAATTATGAGCTTTGAGCTTTGTTCTTAACACAGACCTGGAAGTGAAAGTAGTCTGTGTCACAACAAGCAGAAGGATCCGCAGAGAGACGGAAACACTCATTTCCTCTTTCTCTCCGTTATATAATAATCCTAAACAAAACGCAATGCCACCAAAAAAGATTCCTCCGCATGCTGAGGAGGTTGACGACATTAAACGATCGTTAGACATGTTGACGGAGGAGGTATCTGTTGTAAGACAGCAACAGATAACATTATGAGCCTGGTGGAGGAAGTTAAAGCCCTGAGGCTACAAAACTCAGAAAAGGAAAAAAGGATATTCTTGCTGGAAAATCGGGTGGATGAGCTGGAGCAATACACCCGAATCCACAACATCATAATCACTGGACTGGAGACGAAACCCTGCTCATACGCCCAGGCGGCGATGAGGATGACCGGAGGGGACACAAGTGAGGAGGATGCTACATCTGTGGAGCTACAGGTGACGGCCTTCCTCAACTCCAAGGGAATAGAGATTGACAGCGACAACATCGAGGCCTGTCACCCGCTACCACACAGAAATAAAACAGATAAACCGGCAATAATAATAAGGTTTGCCAACAGAAAACATAAAACTGAACTTCTGAAACAGGGAAGACGGCTTAAGGGCTCGGATGTATATATGAATGAACACCTCACTAAAAGAAATGCTGAGATCGCCAGAAAGGCCCGATTCCTGAGAAAACAGCGAAAAATACATCAACATGGACTGCAAAGTGCAACATCTCCATCAAGCTTCACGGATCCCCAGAACAAAGTGTTCATCATCAGGGACCTGGAGGAACTGGAAACATATCAATGAAACAAATCAGACCAGGTCACGGAAATAAAACACTACCATGACCATTCCAGATAATAAACACATCTCTCTATCAAGACTATAAACGTTTGCATATACAGAGCATAACACACAGGACATGGAAAATGACATTGATCCGGAAAACAACTTACTGAACAATATCAACAACAGCTGCAACTATTTCACAGAAGAGCAATTCAATATAACGTGTCAATCAGAAGAGAACATATCAATGATCCACTTCAATAGCAGAAGCCTAGATGCCAACTTCCTCAACATTAAAGAATATCTAAGTCAGTTTAAGAACCCATTCAACATCATAGCAATATCAGAGACCTGGATCAGTGCTGAGAAAGGTGTGGACTTTGAGATGGATGGCTATGAACTGAATTATACAAACAGAAGGAATAAGAGTGGAGGGGGTGTGGCAATCTATGTGGATAAAGGAATGAACTAGAAGGTGGTGGAGAGCATAACAACAGCAGTTGATGATTTGTTTGAATGTGTTACAGTAGACATGTGTATGGAAAGGTCTAAACATGTTATTGTGAGCTGTATATACAGAGCTCCTGGAACCTGTATTGACACATTTACAGATAGGATAGAAACATGTTTACTAAATCATTACAAAACATGATGTTTATCTTAGGGGTTAGGGTTAAAGACTTAAGAAGACTTCATCAATGCATTGTACAGTATGGGTTTGTATCCTAAAATCACCAGACCTAGTACAATCACTTCTCTGCTACATGAATAGACAACATATTCACAAACATTATGGAGAACAATACAGCAGGGACTACTATATAGTGACATCAGTGATCATTCACCTGTTCTTATTGTCTATCACTGCAGTTCTAAGAAACCGAAAGTCTCCAGCCATTTCAAATACAAAAGATTGAGAACTGAAGAAAACATAAATGCATTAAAGAATACTTTAATCACAATTGGAGGGTAGTATATGAGAGAGACGATATGGACAAGGCCTATGAGGAATTTCTAAACATTTTGAAATCACTTTGTGACAAAAAGTGTCCTGTGAAACAATGCAGAGAGACACAAACAAAGTCACAGTGCATGGATCACTGATGGCCTAAACAATGCAGAGAGAGACACAAACAAAGTCACCGTGCATGGATCACTGATGGCCTAAACAATGCAGAGAGAGACAAACAAAGTCACAGTGCATGGATAACTGATGGCCTAAACAATGCAGAGAGACACAAACAAAGTCACAGTGCATGGATCACTGATGGCCTAAACAATGCAGAGAGACACAAACAAAGTCACGGTGCATGGATCACTGATGGCCTAAACAATGCAGAGAGACACAAACAAAGTCACAGTGCATGGATCACTGATGGCATACACAATGCAGAGAGAGACACAAACAAAGTCACAGTGCATGGATCACTGATGGCCTAAACAATGCAGAGAGAGACACAAACAAAGTCACAGTGCATGGATCACTGATGGCCTAAACAATGCAGAGAGAGACAAACAAAGTCACAGTGCATGGATCACTGATGGCCTAAACAATGCAGAGAGAGACACAAACAAAGTCACAGTGCATGGATCACTGATGGCCTAAACAATGCAGAGAGAGACAAACAAAGTCACAGTGCATGGATCACTGATGGCCTAAACAATGCAGAGAGACACAAACAAAGTCACCGTGCATGGATCACTGATGGCCTAAAACAATGCCTGCAAAAAGAAAAATACACTTTATAGACAACTCATATAATATAGAAGTTCAGAAGCAGAAAATAAATATAAAAGATATAAGAATAAATGAACCAATATTATGAGAATATGTAAGAAAGAATACTATAATAAAATACTAGAGAGTACTCAGAATGAAAGGTTTATGGAAGGTATTAAATAGTATCGTTAGAGATGGAGCAAAGAGTACAGGTTACCCTGAGTTTCTTGTTGACAAAGATAATGTTATCAATAACACAGAAGATGTGGTTCATGGTTTGAACCAACTCTTTGTAAATGTGGGGCCAGATCTGCAGAAAGAATGAAAAGCGTAGAAACAACTAAAGGGGAAGATACAGAGCTCTGGAATGAAAACAATAGCTCTTTGTTCCTCAGAGCAGTCGAAGAAAGAGAAATCATAGACACTGTACGGAAATGTAAAAGCAAGTCCTCGAGCGATTGGAATCATATTGATATGATGATAGTCAGAAACATTATTGAAGACATTGCAGAACCATGAACACATCGTTGTAACTTGTCTTTTCAATCTGGTACATTCCCTAATGAAATGAAAATAGCCAAAGTTATACCATGATATCAAACTGGGGATAAACACCGTGACACACATCACATGTTTCTTTGCTCTCCCACTTTCATCCTTGAAAAGGGTTTTACAAAAAGACTTGACAGTTTCATGGATCAGAAGACATGAACGTAACTTGTGGAGTACCTCAGTGGTCTGTGTTGGGTCCACAGCTGTTCATCATATACATCAACGATATTTGCAGAGTATCAAATATATTGACATGTATTGTATTTGCAGATGATACTAATATGTTTTGTTCTGGTGACAGTTTGAAACAACTGGCTGAGACTATCGCACTATTGGGGAAAGCAAGACACACTCTGGAGTACACATCATGATATACTCTGTGTGATACACTCATATCACATCATGATATACTCTGTGATACACTCATATCACATCATGATATACTCTGTGCGATACACTCATATCACATCATGATATACTCTGTGTGATACACTCATATCACATCATGATATACTCTGTGTGATACACTCATATCACATCATGATATACTGTGTGATACACTCATATCACATCATGATATACTCTGTGTGATACACTCATATCACATCATGATATACTCTGTGTGATACACTCATATCTCCATGTCTGAGTTACTGTGTGGAGATCTGGGGAAACACAAAACCAACCTGCAGCCGTTATGCACATTATAAAAAAGGGCTATAAGAGTAATCAATAATGTTGGATATCTTGAACACACTCATTCATTATTCTTGAAGTCACACACACTGAAGTTTACTGATCTGGTTACATTTCAAACTGCATCATGTACAGAGCAAGAGATCATCTACTTCCTAGGACACTACAGACGTTGTTCATAGACAGAGAGGGGGGGTATCATCTGAGAGGAGATCTACATCTGAAACAACTCAAGGTCAGAAGAACTCTGAGAAGAGCAGAACAATCTGTGGGGGGGGGTTTCATGGAGCGGCTTGGAGCAGGAGTTCAAACAAAGCACACATATCATTCACTTTGAAGGATGCACAGAAACACTTCTTTGGGAAAGTATGAGAATGAAGAAAGGAGATTGAAGAGGAGAAATGATTGTAAATGTATAAATGTAAATATGTAAGTAGGAATAACTTTCAGAGATGATTGAAAGGATAATCATTGATCAGCAGGAAGTGAGGGGGATCAATAAGCATCTGCTCCCTCCTGCTCCCTTCGGACACATAGGATTTATTATTATTATGATGAACATTGATAAATACTTTATTCTAACAATACGCTGTTCTGTTTCTCACATGTGTTTCTTCCTCCAGGCTGGACCATGGTGGAGAGCAGAGGTTCAGAGCAGGTCTGAGGAAGTGTAAGTGTGGATCAGTCAGCTTCTCTCTAGAGCAGGGGTAGAGAGAGAGAGAGAGAGAGAGAGAGAGAGCGAGAGAGCGCGCGAGAGAGAGAGAGAGAGAGAGAGAGAGAGAGAGAGAGAGAGAGAGAGAGAGAGAGAGAGAGAGAGAGAGAGAGAGAGAGAGAGAGAGAGAGAGAGAGAGAGAGAGAGAGAGAGAGAGAGAGAGAGAGAGCCTTTATCTATTTAATAGATGAAGTCAGAAATCATTCCAGTGTGTAGAGGTCAGCAACAAAAACAAGTAACAGTTGAAAGAGTGATCAGTAAAATCAGCATGAATAGAAAGAAAGAATGAATAACATCAGATCAGAATAAACCAGTTTGAATGATTTGTTATTGGTTGTGATCATCTAAAGAGGTTTGGATTATTGGAAAGTTTTACAGCTCTCTTTCATCTGAGTGTTGAGAGCTGTTTTCATCAATTCATCTGGGGCTCAGAGTGCTCCAGATTGATGCATGCCCCCGGACCCCCTAGAGGAGGTGAGGACCCCCCTAGAGGAGGTGAGGACCCCCTAGAGGAGGTGAGGACCCCCCTAGAGAAGGTGAGGACCACCCTAGAGGAGGTGAGGTCCCACCTAGAGGAGGTGAGGACCCCCCTAGAGGAGGTGAGGACCCCTAGAGGAGGTGAGGACCCCTAGAGGAGGTGAGGTCCCCCCTAGAGGAGGTGAGGACCCCCCTAGAGGAGGTGAGGACCCCCCCCCAAATAAAGCAGGTTAAAATAATGAGATAGCATCCATGTTCTTTGAGTAAACACTGAAGGGGTCCCACAGACCCAAACAGACACAAAAGGTTAAAGGTCAGCATGTCATAATGTTAAAATGTGCTAAATATATACACTGCAAAAAAACAACAAAAAGAGGAGTAAAAGTAGCTCACGACTTGTTTTATTTTTTGAAAGTAGCCCTCACCCTAAAAAAGGTTGGAGACCCCTGCTCTAGAGACACAGAGGATGGAGGTGCTATTTATTCATTAGAACATGACCTCTTGAAGCTTTATAGAAAGATCACTGACAGAGAGGAAAGCCTTCAGGTGAGTCTGGTGATAAACTGCTGTCTGTGTCTCTCCTCAGATTCCTGTGGACTCACCCTGGACTCAAACACAGTGGGCTGGCTCCTCAAACTGTCTGAGGACAACAGGAAGGTGACACGTGTGGAGGAGAGGCAGCCATATCCTGATCATCCAGAGAGGTTTGATGACAGGGCTCAGCTGATGTGCAGAGAAGCTCTGACTGGTCGCTGTTACTGGGAGGTCGAGTGGAGAGGAGGGGTTATTATAGCAGTGACTTACAGAGGAATCAGGAGGAGAGGAGGGAGAGAGGAATGTGCGTTTGGAAGGAATGATCAGTCCTGGAGACTGTACTGCTCTGATGGAGGTTACTTTGTCAGGCACAATAACAGAGGAACACCCATCCCCTCCCCCTCCCCCTCCTCCTCCTCCCCCTCCCCCTCCTCCTCCTCCTCCCCCTCCTCCTCCACCTCCTCCTCTGGTAGAGTAGCAGTGTATCTGGATCATGCTGCTGGCTTTCTCTCCTTCTACAGCGTCTCCTCCTCCTCACTGATCCTCCTCCACACCTTCAGAGCCACATTCACTGAACCTCTCTACGCTGGGTTTGGGTTTGGGCCTGACTCCTCAATGTCTCTGTGTCCTCTGTGTCCTCTGTAGGAGGAGTCCACTTCCTGTCCTGGGGTCACATGGTGTTTTAAATGGAGGCTTCTCATTGGTTACCGTGTGTCTCACTGATTGTGTCTGTAATAAAGTTTTCTTGAAGCAACGTATTAAAGCTGATCCTGAAGACTGTAGTGATCGATACGTTCAATAAAGATTTAGAACAAGCAGCGTCTATGAAGTCAATCTGTTCCTCCTCCTCTCCTCCTCCTCCTCCTCCTCCTCCTCCTCCTCCTCCTCTCCTCCTGCTCCTCCTCCTCCTCATCCTCTCCTCCTGCTCCTCCTCCTCCTCCTCCTCTCCTCCTCCTCCTCCTGCTCCTCCTCCTCCTCCTCCTCCTCCTCCTCCTCTCCTCCTGCTCCTGCTCCTCCTCCTCCGCCTCTCCTCCTCCTCCTCCGCCTCTCCTCCTCCTCCTCCTCCTCCTCCTCCTCCTCCTGTTCCTCCTCCTCTCCTCCTCCTCCTCCTCCTCTCCTCCTCCTCCTCCTCCTCTCCTCCTCCTCTCCTCCTGCTCCTCCTCCTCTCCTCCTCCTCCTCTCCTCCTCCTCCTCCTGCTCCTCCTCCTCCTCTCCTCCTCTCCTCCTCCTCCTCCTCTCCTCCTCTCCTCCTCCTCCTCCTATCCTCCTCCTCCTCCTCCTCTCCTCCTCTCCTCCTCCTCTCCTCCTCTCCTCCTCCTCCTCCTCTCCTCCTCCTCCTCCTATCCTCCTCTCCTCCTCCTCCTCCTCCTCTCTATCTTGCAGCATCAAATAATTATGACATTGACTTCAAAATGTAGCTTTTCACTATTTTCGACCATATATAGCAATTGTTCATGTTTGCTCTAATAAATGCAGTTTTTCTGGTGTCTTTACAAATGCATCCTGTTTTTGAGAATCATTGATCTATTCCATAAAGAAAAAACACCCCACAAGCAATGGCATTACGTAAAGAAACATTTAAAGAGTTAACATTCTGATAATGAATGAATATTGGTATTTGGTAGTTATGATAAGGGTGGTTAAGGATCTTAGCATTTCACTTCAATACATTTTTCGGGGGCTGACTTTTTTTCTCTAAGGACATCAGAGCAACTCTTTTATAAGGTCTAAAACTAACCGGTCTGTCAAAATATCCAGTCAGTACCAACAATGCCACCCCCAATATAAAATCATCTATAATTTGACCTAAGGTCCACATGTGCAACTAAATAAACAAGCACCATTTGCTGAAGAAAGACTGATATTTGTTCAACAGCTCAGAGAAGTAGTAGTTCATTTGTCAATAGCCATAACCTAGGTATGAAAAGTTTTTGAACACTATATAAGTGCATTTTCAGCGGTATTAACAATAGGTACTTCAGCAGCCCAAGATTTCAAAAGGTCAAATGATGTGTTTAGTCTCTTTAAAATGTGACGGTACATAGATTTTGGTCTAAACTTTACAATGATATATTACTTTAAGCTTTTGGAGTAGGTTGCCCGCTTTCATACTGGCTCGATGCGTAAACATGTAGAATTTTTTTTGAAAGAATTGCAATGATATAGGGTTGAAATAAGGAGTAATAGCATATAGAAAGCTTATATTCTTGCAATGCTATAATGCATTTTTCAAAACTATAGACCTTTAAAAAGTCACTATGAGACATGGTCCATCTACATTGGCACAACCAACCCCCTGGCTCATTAACTAAGTATAGTTTATAACCTCAATGATTGAGTTATACATTCATATGTTATCAATTCATCTGTTCATTGCTTTCACGATGATGAATAGCTTAACTGTTATTTTTACACAACAGTAAGAAAATACCAATTCAAATGTCCAGAGGCATAGACATTACATACACAATGATATAAAACAGAAAAACAACAAATCCTCATATTTACAAAGCTGGACTTATTTATAAATATTGTTATTGCTTCATCAATTGTATTGATGTAATATCTCAAAGTGAGAGTATTCACAGAGAGGCACAACTTAAAGATCAGACAGAATGGCCGTTTCTCAATGTCGAGTAAACCTGCTGCAGAGCCACTATTTCAAGTATACTACGTCATCGAGTGGCGCCGAATGCTGGGCATTTAACATGCATTTAAACAGTCATTCGGCGCCACTCGATGACGTAGTCTACTTGAAATAGTGGCTCTGCAGCAGGTTTACTCGACATTGAGAAACGGCCACAAACTGACTGAGCAGCTCCATCGGCTCCTGTGTTCACTGGTAAGTTTCTAATGCGTACAAGAACGTTTCTTTTCTATATCCCCTTAGGGGCTCTGTATGTTGCAATATATTTACAAAATGTTTTGACAGCAGCATTTGTTTTCCTCGAAGGGAAACCAAACAGTGCAGCTGATCATAGTTTTAGCTGGTGCTTTCAGGAATATTGCAGCTAAATACAAGCTACAGTATGACAACCAATGAGCAATACTAGTCCCTCTCATGTGCGTTTGGAAAGTAACAAATGTGCGTCTGTTCACCCATTTTTTAAATCATGCATTTCTGCTCTACCCTGTCACCTGTTTCTCTATTAGAGTACCAGGATGTAGACAGAAGCCGCAACCAAAGTACCCATTAAACTGTGTGGTGTTTTGCATTGTAGGTCTTGCCTTTGAGTCTACACAGCAACAAAGTCCAACAGCTTTGCTGTTCACACAGGTTCCATTTTCCCTCCAAGACACCTTTGGATGCCAATGTTTTTGCCTGATCAACAAAGGGTCTGAGAACAATAGACACGACAGACTCATGGGAACCAAACCAAAGACCTGTAAGCATTACATTCTGCGCGGGCGGTGCACGCTTTGTGACGTGCAACAACATGTGACAAACAACAAAAACGTGTGAGTTTTAACAACATGTTTATTGATTGACTTTTCATTCCTGTATGGCAATATTCATTTCGCACAAAGATGGCACTGTTTGTCAGAGCACATTTTGGGGACAACGTGATCTGACGCAGTAAGGATACAAGTTTGTCAGTATATCTGAAGGCTCCCGTACACTGAGTATTTACATGCATGTATAGTGATTGTGAGTTTGTAATAAATATGTACTTTGTAAGGGTTATAAGTTAGTTATTGTTGGTAAAACAGTAAGGTTGTTTGTTACACTTAAATATGTTTCAGTAATGCATTTTAGTGACCTGCCATTAATGGCAGAAGGTAAATAGTCAACATGACAGGTTAGCAGTAGCGTGGCGTGGGGAAAAATGTAGGGGAAGCCCATTTTTTTGGGTTGGGGGGGGGGGGGGGGGGGGGGGGGTGGTGGTCAATAATGTAACCAGATGAGTGATTACAGCGCCCATCATTTTACACACATTTGTATCACACAGATGCAGGACTTGCACACGCCTGTTATCTAACCGACAGGTCCGCACGCACTCTCCAGCCGAAACTCTCGTCTTATTAATTTAAGCATTTTCTTATTAATTTATGCAGACACACCTCCCCCCCCCCAAATGCAATACCAGCCGCTCAATGCGCAGTGCATTCATTCACAAAGTAAATCAGGAGACCTTTAAAGTTTTTACGTTCACATCAAAGTATCAGTAGGCGTGTATGAAACACATGAATTCAAAAACAATTATGTACAGAAACATCCACCTTCTCTTCCCTTCCCTTTCTAACACACGGCAAGTGCAGCAACAGTCCTCGTCTCTGTAATTAGCTCAGTCCGTAGTCCAAAAGTAACTAAAAAATATAAACAATCTCATCTATTCAGGTGATCGATTACACATTGGCAGTGTCCAATCAAATCGCCAGCCGCCTCTGAAGGGAAGCCAGAGGCGGCTGGCTTCCCTTGGCATGGCCCTGACCAATCACAGGTTGGCAGGGGCATCACGTGGGCCTCATCTGATTGGTCAATCCCTGAATTTGTTTTCACCAAGGGAAGCCCGATTCAGCTGGCCTCCTCTCGCAACAGTGAATGCAATCTACTGTTTCACCATAACATCTAGAGGGGCGCTGTTTGTTTCACTCTTTGTAAAATACTCAATGAGAGTGGGGGAGAGACGGGCCGGCAGCAACACACAGCAAAGGAGAATTATCGAAACAAACCAAGTGTTTTTAATTATTTATTTAAATTATAACTACAATCCGAGAAAACAGGGGAAGCCTGGCTTCCCTTGGCCTCCGGGAGAAAACGCCACTGCAGGTTAGAGGGGTCATGAAATACTACTTTTAAGTGAAAGTAAAAAGAAGAGTAGTATTAAATACAGGTTAATACTGTATACAAATGTATTTAAGGTACACAGATTTTATTGAATGTGAAATTCAATTCGAAATAGGCCTATGTGTTTATCACATAAAAGAGTAACATACAGACAGAGTGAAGGTATGTGAATGGTTATTGAGGAATGTAAGTCGAAACTGAAATGCATAAGATAATTAATATGTTTATATGATTTTGTGTAATAAAACAACCTCAGAAGTAATCTGGAAGGAAACTGAACACAACGTGTCCTCATTACTTCTGTTTCACCTGCACCATACAGGTATCATAACTGTTACTGTGGTCCTCATATCGGGGACCCGTAACACATTCATAAAGTTATTCAAGTCGTTGAATAAAATAAGATGTTTAGGTAAAGTAAACCTAAGTAATAGTTCAAATGTATTTGCATCAAAATGTACTTAAAGTACTAAAATGGAATATTACATTATTGGATTATAATTATTAATGCATTAATTTACTTTAATGTTGCAGAAAATAAATGTGAATCTCAATAAAGTGTTATCTTAACCTGTAAGAATGCATGATACATTATTTGTTGATTGCATGTTGTAGTATATTTCTTAATCTTTAAAGTAGGTAAAACTATTAAATATATTTTGTGGATTAAATAGTACAATATTTTACTCAGTATTTTAGTAGTTGTCAGAAAGAGCCAGAAATGGACACCCTCGGGTAAAGTAAATGTACCCTGAAAACAAAGCACTTGGATCAAATGTATTCAGTTACTGTTGTATTATACTATGTTGCCTTTGTCTAATTGGGCTTTTATCCATGTTTCCAGAAAATACAGAAGAAGCAAAAAGAAAAGATCTCTTGGCCATATTGCAGGAGAGGAAAAAAGAAAACAATTGTCTCCACTCTGCCCAACACAAACAAAACAATGCAGAGAATATACTCCCTCCGATGACTCCGATGATGATGGAGCGGTTGTGCCTCAACAACTCTTTGAGGAGGCAAAGCTGAAACAACGCCTCTATCACAAGAAATTGAACGAAATGAGTGCAACTGAATGAAAACCAAAAAAAGTAAGTCATAAGGTTTTTAGTTAAAGTATATATGTATGGCATATTATGATAGACAAATCATAAACGTTTTCTATTGTTATTGAGTCATGAAATGATTATATTCCCAAAGTGTCTGCGTTTCAGTTCATTGTGTGATGTGATATTTAAGTGTACTTTTGTCAAAGTTGCATGGTATGAGGCTGCTACTTGTTTAAGTTACATCATTACAATATACCATCCAGATACGAGCTTTCAGTGATTGCTGAATATTAACAACATGTGTGCAAGTGGACTACGACTATAGACAACAAACTACTAGATGTTACTTAATATTAGTTTTTCTTGTAAGTTAGCTCCTCATAACATATTCCCTTCTGTCTTAGGCTGGAGGAGCAGGAGAAAGTGACACACTGCGTGTTTTAAATATCAAGTTGCAGCAACATCTTTTCAAACAGCTGAACCCCACAGCAGATGAAAGTAGTGGTGAGATTGATTTGTGTTGTTCTTATTACACTGTCCTTATAGGATGCCATTTGATCAACATGTTGAATTTGTCATGGTTGATTCCTGAAAGAAATGTGATAGTCAAAGATTGAAGAATTATTTAATTACATAAAATGTTTCTAACTTTTTTTCTGTAATTATGAACCATTTTATCTTAAAATAATGTATCCACTAATGAACAATTATGATGCAAACAATATGTGTTTGAACAAGTTTTGTCCCATAATATAATTGTATAGACTTTCATAGACTAGTTTCCAGAAATGGGAATAAACTGTCTCTACTTGCTCGGCTAAGCGCTAAGCCATTTTTAACTTTTGAGAGATGTTTTTTACGATGAGTTCAGCGGCACCTCTCAGCATCCATTTGACATCAAACTCTAAAAATAGTTTTAAGCTGTTTGATCTTTTATGGGGTTAATCATCTTTTATATTTTTACAGAAAGTGACAATGAAATAAAGAAAGAAAGCCTGTAAGACTTAAAATAAGGTTTATGATGCTTACTTTTATTTGTTCGTATGTTTTCAATCACTTTTCAAATTGGTGACATGGTGGCTTGTCTCCTCTCTTACTGTCAAAGATCCCGGTGCCCAAAGAAGACCATCATTGGTTAGTGTTACCTCCAAAGTGCCTTCTGATGTTAAGACATGTTTATTGCAATGTTCAACAGTGCAAATGAAAGGACAAAGCTGGCATTAGTTAAGTTAAATATTTGTGTCTGACTTATTCTTCTTGCTCTGATAAGACTTGTTATTAATGATGTGATCACTTAAGAGCTGCTCTGAAATGTAAACTCAACTGTTAAAGCAAGTGGGTGGATTTCAACGAGGTGCAACTGTTACCTGTCTTCACCTTATGCTCTATAACATTACAGAGGCAATGAGTTGGCACCATGTCAATCCCCAAAAGGAGATGAGGTACAATATTTCATGACAGCTCCCAGGCGGCGGGCGCAGATGACACTCCTCCCGGGAGCTGTCATCTCAATCCATCATGACAGCTAGCGCGTCCCGGTTGCGAGCTGAGCTGTGCGCGCGATTCTTCCTGTCGGCTACGCTTCTCGGACTTAACTACGCTGGAGTCGATAGCCGTATAACTCTACAGGCAGCTACGAGCCTAAATTCCTGTCGCAGAACGTGGAACACACTCTCACGGTAAGCTATCTGTTATTTCAGTTATTACGAGGTTGTTAAGGTTAGCTGCTGATGTGTTTTTTAGCTTACCAAGGGAACTAGCGAAGCTATTGATAGCCAAGGGGCTACTGTACGAGATGTGCACGGCCTGCTGTCAGACCGGCCCGGGGTCCGGCCCACTTTCTGTCACGCATTGTGATTGGCTGTACGGCATTCACACACTGATTGGATGTATCTACCGGGAGGTTTGAACAAATAGGAATGAGTGTAAAGAATTTTCGCACAACAGGTTAAGTAAAATAATAATACAAATAATTTTTCCATCTTGAAATAACATAATATAATATCAAAAATGTGTCACGTCAGGGTGATGGAGAAGCGCCAGGGACTCATAATTATTTCTCTTTAAATGTCCTTTTATTCCTTTGCTGTTTTATAATATGGCTTTTTATTGCCATTGTGTATGAAATGTGCTATACAAATCAGAGGAAGATTAGAAGTACTCCGATTGTGTACATAAGTAAAGTAAAAGTAGCAATACTAAATTGTAAAAATAGTCTGATACAAGTAAAAGTTCTGCATTTCAAATCTTACCTTTTAGCTAAAGTGTATTTTAATAAATGTGTTCAAAACAGTTGGCAAATGTATTTGTATTTACTTTATATATTGCTGCTGGATATCTTAACCATCATTTGACCTAATGTATATTTAATAATCGTTTTTTATGTAACTAAAGCTGTCTGATAAATGACGTTGAGTAAAAAGTTAAATATTGGCTTCTAAAATGTAGTAGAGTAGAAGTATAAAGTAGCATAACATGGAAATACTCAAGTAAAATACAAGTACCTCAAAATTGTACTTAAGTACAGTACTTGAGTAAATGTATAGTTACTTCCCACCTCTGATACAAATGAACTTGCCTTGCCCGTTATGTTAGCATCACATTTCACCAGTCTATGCAGCCTAGCCTACTAACCACTTTCCAACTTAAATGTATTTTCAGAATGAGAGCATTTGAGGAAGAAGATGCCCTTACTGTGGCTCAACTAGAGGCAGGAGTCAGGTGCAAATGGCACTGGTCCTGGCTGAAGCTAGACTCGAGGAACGAGGTTAGGGGAAAAGAATATGCGTTCCCTTTGTCGCAATTCTTCACAAAAATTGAGAAACCAGGCCATGCCCGTTGCAGCCTCTGCTGCAAGGAAATTAATTATTCCACCAAGGGCTCCCATGCACTTTTTGCACACTGTAAAACCGAAAAACATAGCCAAAAGGTGGTGAGTATTATGACCACACTCAGTGTTGTACCAGTGTCAACAACTCAGGGCCAGTCACTGCAGGGGCCATCAACTCAGGGCAGATGAGGGAAAGAGTGAAGGTGCCAGTACCTCTGTTTGAAAGGATAGCAAATGCAGAGGTGAGTGTTGGTTAGCCAGTTTGTGTGCTAGTTATCACAGATAATTAAATAGTTAAGCCTAGACTTTGATAAGCAGAACAGGAAATTCCCCTAATAGCCTACTCCATCAACAGTGAATCATAATTATTGAATTGTTTTTATAATGAAGTATGTTTATTACATGCTATAGTGCTTTGCAAGTGGCATCATATAACATGCTAATACTATTTTTGTTGTTCCAGGCAATGGTTCTTGGAACCATTGCAGAATATTCCCTCCCCCTATCTGCAGCTCCTGTCATTGTTGAGCTTGCCCAGACACTGGCTCTGGATAAACCAGCTTTGGCAGACATGAAGCTATCCCGGACTGCTGCATCTTACAAGATGGTCCAGGGCCTGGGCCACACCTTCTCAGAGAGGACGTTTCAGAGAATCAGGTCAAGTTCATTCTCGATCAACCTGGATGAGAGCACGTCAAACTCCAACAAGAAGGTGTTGTCAATTTTAGTAAGCTACTTCAATCAGGAGCTGAAGCATGTGGTGGTGGAGCACCTTGGCTCCTTCGAAGTCCTTAAAGGCACGGCTTATCACTTGGAAACTGCCTTAGTCGCCTTTTTTAAAGACCATCAAATCCCATTTTCAAACATGGTCAGCATGATGTTGGACTTGTGTAATGTGATGAGAGGGAGCAAGTCTGGGCTGGAGACAAGAATAAGAGACAAGCACTGCCAGAACCTGCTGGACATAGATGGAGATTCATGCCACCATATCCACAATGCTGCCAAAAAGTTGGCTGCCCCCTTCTGCCACAACCTTGAGCAGCTCTTCACAGACCTTCACACAGACCACCTGTGGGCTTCAGACCAGGTATTGTGGATACGCCTCCACTGGAAATACTCATTGCAAAATGACAAATAGGCCTAATAAGTGTCAGCCCATGTTCTGCTTGTTTTCAGGTGAATTATCTGATGGAGGTTTGTGAATTCATGTGCATTCCAGGCACCAACCCACAGAGGTTTACGGCTCATCGGTGGCTTTCAGCGTACGATGTGGGCATCAGCACTCGCCGAATGTTGCCTGCATACAAGGTACTGTATTTTGGTTTCCTCAATCGTGCAGACCAGAACCTCTACATGGATATCCTAGAGGAGATTTACAAGGACCATGGAGTTGGTGAGCGGGCAAAGGCCAGGAACCAGTTCTTTCACCAGGACCTCAGAAAAAAAGGTAAAAGTCTTGAAATGGACCTAATATTTTCTGATCAGTTCCGCCCACAACATGTTATCTGATAATTCCTCTTGTGTTTTTCTTTTTTGGGAAACACAGTATACTATGTAGCCCAAAACCCTTTTTTAATTACATTTCTTCCAGGAATGACGCAAGTTGGGAAAGACCGAAAAGAGAGGGTGGTAAAGAAGCTCTGGTTCGAGAGCCTTAACACAAACCTTTATCTGAGTGTTTACCTTGGCGTCCTCCCCATCTTGAAGGAGTATGTTATGGTGTTCCAGGTGTATTCACATTAAGTGAATAATCAATCTCTGAGAAATGAACATAATTAACCTATCCTTGTATGACGAAGATAGGAGTCAGAACTGACCCTCAACTCCAAGTCACGTCTGTGTATGATAATATAATTGTTGTATTTTGGATTAACATGCCATAATTATTCACAGGGCAGCCAAACCCTTGTCCACAAGCTACATGACAAGCAGCTTGAAGTGGTCACCAGTTTCATGGCATGCTTTGTCAAGGCTGAGCATCTTCACACCACACCAAAGAAGCTCGTGGAGATGGAGTTCAGCGATAAAATGCTGCCTCTCAGGGAGCTGTATGTTGGACCGTTGGCTGAAAAACTGAAGGCAGAACATCCTCAACATCCAGTCAGTACATTTTATGAAAATGGCAAAATCATACATTGAGTCTAGTCGATGATTTAATTTCCAATGTTTTATTTTGATAATTTTTTCCAGATTGTGCTGCAGTTTCTCAACACAGTAAAGACTGCATACATCTCCACAGCAGCCTACATGCAGAAAAAGCTGCCACTGAACAGCAGGACTCTACAAGCCCTGTCTGCGTTGGACCCCTTAGTGAGAGGACACTCAGAAACTGGCATACTGCTGAAGCGGCTCTCAGGGCCAGAGATGATGGGCCACTTGGTGCCACCTGAGTGTGACGTGCCACTGGAAGTGTTGAAGTTCAATGTTGACCACACCCTTCCCCTGTACCTGGATGGTGACAGCATGGTTACGTGGTGGGCAAATATAATGGCCACTGGCAAGTACCCAGGTCTTAACCATGTGGTTAAAGGGGGTCTTTCTATTTTCCATGGACCTATGGTAGAGTCCTCATTCAGTGCAATGGGAGACATCATTACTCAGAAAAGCACCAAAATGAGCATGGCAACATTTAATGCCATTCAAACAACCAAATATGTTCTCAAGTCCAGATGTCAAACAGCCATCCAGATGTTCAAGAGAGAAAATGTGAAGCTCTCCACGGTGGACAAGGCCCTCTGTAAGAACATCCGCACTGCAGGCACAAAAGACAAGACACGCAGAAAACAGGCCCTGTTGAAGAAGAAAGAGAGGCAGGAAGAGTTTGGGTGCCAGCCAATAACCAGTGCCGAGCAAAGCAGGAAGATTGCAGTGGAGAAGGACAGGCAAGCCCATGTGAGGCACAGAGCTGCTCAAAAGCGGAAAAAAGCCCTTGAACTACTGGTACAGGCAAAGAAGGCAAAAAAGTAGTATGTACTTTTAAATATTTGATCTCTTCATTCAATAGTAGTATAAAGTCTAGTACAGAGGCTTTCACATACGTTTTCTAAATGTTCAACAGGGAACTGCTGCTAACAAATTGTTTCTATTTTCCCTTTAGAAATCATCTAGATGAAAAAGGAAGGACGTTTTGATGTGCCGCAAGAAGTGTCGGAGAGTTCACTGTCTTCTGCCTTCCCTTTACTTTTATCTCTAGCGTTGCAAAGGCAGTGTGAGAGAAATATTCATGCTCTGACTGGATATGTTGTTTTGGTTACTGTCTTTAAAATTGTGTAAGATAGTGGTACGGCTCTACAAGTACACAAAATAAATGCTTTGTTATATTACAAATGGAAACTCTGTGTTTTTCTTATTATTACCACTGCTTGTTTTGTTGTTCTGATTGCTAAAATTGCCTGTAAATCCACATTTTAAAGCTGATAATTAAAAAAAATCTACTTTAAAATCTACTAAAAAAACTAGCCTTGCTCTTTGTTGAATTGGAAGGACTTGGTTATTTGTCATTTATATTGAACATTAATATAATTAATTTTAATTGATCATATTTCCTTTGTGGAAAGTCCTGGTCCTGCTTTGTTCGGACTGATACATTTTAGACATATTTGATTTAAGTACTTCTTTATTTGTCCATTTCATTTTAGTCTGCTTCAAGAGGTGGCTTTCAAAAAGAAACTTGGAGAGCGAAATGAAGGCCAGATGGGCGAAGGCTGGACACTACATCACGGCAAAAATACCAAACCTCTGAAGACTGAGAATGCTTTATTATTTATAGGACTCTTTATTTATTTGTAATTAATTAGTTGATATTGATGTGTTAATGTGTTATTGTAATTCGTTTTTTTATTTTTAAAATATTGAATTATATTTATTATTTTTGAATTAAAATGCAAATGTTGTATTTATGTGTTTATCTGATAAAAACCTACGTCAGAAATGATCATGCTTGTCATATGTCTATCTCCATAGAGGCTGAATCATCATGTTAATCACATAGCTATCATATGCCTCAAACAGTCCTGATGCTCTTCTAGGTAATCACACATCCTGTCATGTTCACAGCTACAGTTGGGATACCTTTGTTATCATGTTGCTCTCATGTTGGAAGAGGACATTCAGGATTTTCACAACAAATACTCAAATCTATAAAAGCTCACAGCCCTGGCCACTGTCTCTCTCATAACTAAGAGGCAGATAGCATGTTAACAACAAGCGGGAGGAATGTACAAAGTATATGTACGCAAATTGAACCCAGATCATTTGAGAAGTCGAATGCAGGGTTGTTTTATCATAATCTCTTGACCCGCCCACTGCAGGTGTGATGGAGAGGTGATGTTCCAGTCGGAGGAGTGTGTTGTTAACTTATTGTATTTTGCTATAACATTATATATATACAACTATTTGTTACTATTTATTCAATTTACTTATCTTTGTTGTTACTGCAATAAATGACACAGTGAACACATCTTTAATATGTTCATGTACTCTGGTGTATATACCATCATACTAGTATTTATTGTGGCTCTGGTATTCTTTCAGCATGCCCCCAGCATAGTATGTGTAATACTATCATTAAACACAACAACATACCGTGCTGGTGGATCATGCTGGTCCCCAGTATGATCCATGATGGTGGATCATGCTGGTCCCCAGTATGATCCATGATGGTGGATCATGCTGGTCCCCAGTATGATCCATGATGGTGGATCATGCTGGTCCCCAGTATGATCCATGATGGTGGATAACCAGCATGGATCACTCTGGGGACCAGCATGATCCACCAGCATGGACCATATACATATCTTCAGTATGATAGCTGTCTAACAGAACTTCGGGTAGTCACACCTACATTTAATGTGCAACGTTAATGGAGGCGGAACTAATCTGCGGTGTTGTTTGTGTTACACCTGTTTTATTAATCGCCATACTTGGCAATCGCAACTCCAGAGCAACGCATGCGGTCTAGTGATATTTCTGGATACAAGAAAACTAAAGGAACAAGATGCAGCCTAAGCTATCAGCCCCTCTGCAGTAGGTGACGAGCAGCGAGGTACGTGTTTGCTGGTTGTTTGTGGTTGAGCTGCGGGTTATGTGTGTTTATGTAGTGTATGCTGATAGAAATGTGTGTGTAGTTGTTGATACATTGCTGACAGAGGGAACTACATTTGAATACAGATTTAAGAAATATCAGTCTTTGAGCATGTAATAAGCATGTTTTGTTTTGACTATATTACAACTATATTATAATAAAATAATATAGTATTTATATTATTGAATTGATTATTATTATTAGTAGTAGAAGTAGTTTATTTGCATTAATTATATTTTAATCTTTTTAAGGCTAGTATTTTCACTATATTCATTCTGTAGTGCACTATTAAGATCAGAACATATCTTAAGTCTGCTTGAATGATGGATTTCTTGTCTGCATTGGTCCAGGAGATCATCAACCTCCCAAAGATGCCACTACAAAAACCTGCTCTGGAGATGTTGTAATTTCTCCACAAAAGTGAGTTACAGGAACTGTACCCAAATCTCTGGATTGCCCTCGGCATTGCAGTAACTCTTCCTGTTACAGTTGCGTCTGCTGAGAGAAGCTTTTCCAAACTGAAGCTTATGAAGACGTACCTCCGGTCGTCAATGGCACAAGAACGCTTAAGTGGCCTGGCTATCATAAGCATCAACGCACAGTTGGCACAGCAGCTGCCATACGATGACCTTGTCGATGACTTTGCATGCAGGAAATGCAGACGTATTCACCTGTAAACGCATACTGAACGACATACATGCACATTTACCATTTACCTCACTGTATAAAAAAGTAACTGTTGATAAGAATTATATTTGCAAAGTACTTTGTTTCCCAACATTTTTTCACTCCTGTCGGTGGGGGGGCTCATCTCACAATGTCGCTTGGGGCCCCAAGTTGGCCAGGGACGTCCCTGACTGAGGACCTGACGTGGACTCATCACCGAGGACCTGACGTGGACTCATCACCGATGACCTGACGTGGACTCATCACCGAGGACCTGACATGGACTCATCACACAAACACCATCACCAAAACAGCGGCTCTTCTTCCTCCACAGGCTAAGGAGGTTCAACATGGACTCCAGGATACTCTGCAACTTCTACGGAGTATCCTGACTGGTAACAATAATAAGCCATAAACCACAATGGGCTATGATTATGAACCAATAAACCAATATTAAACAAGTCTCTGCTTTTTTGTTATACATATCAAATAGAGCCGCACTAACCCTGTCTGACGCAGCGATGAGATGAAACTGATACTGCCCGTTGCAAGTCTGTAGCAAGGATGTTTGCAGAGTGAAGTCCTACACTGCCCTCTGTTGGTGAAGCTGCGCCACTCTCAGTCCTACGGTGACAAAAAACCACCTTCAACTGAAACAAAGTTAAACAAAAATCCATGTTGGTTCTTAAACAGTGTGAACAATTGGCAAATGCTAAGCTAAGCTAAACATTGAAGGATAAACATTGGCAATTAAACAGCAGCAGTTGAACCTACAAAAGGTGGGGGGGTAAAACAATTCACCATGCTGCACACAAACAATTCATTTGAATGTGTTGGACCTATTCACCACAGCAGTCGAATGCACTTATTGTAAGTCGCTTTGGATAAAGCGACAGCTGACAGCTAAATGCAATGTAATGTAATGCAATGTAATGCCTACCTGTACCACCAACCATGACTCAGCAAAGAGGGAACAAAGGCCCACAGGTGCCTTTTATAGCAGAACCTGATTGGGGGAGGAGTCTGGATCTGCATTCAACAACACTGCCCTGTTGTGGAGTGTTATGGGTAACAGCAGATCCAGACTACACACTGCACCACAGTGTGAAAGTGTTATCATTGTGCACTTCCTGCCATTCCTGCCTAAACGTGCATGAGGTGATTTGCTTGACAGTTTATGTTTGAATAATAATAGTAATATATTGTATGTATTTATGTATTGGGGCAGCGATGGAGAATACTCCAGTTGACCCCTCCGTGCAGTTTCAATGCAGGTACTGTATATTTTCTGTCACAGTTATCATCGTATCTCTGTGAGCTTCCAGCTTTTGGTTTTTAATATCGGAGACAACACACACAGAACCAGGGACCCTGTTGCTACATCGGCCTCGGTGAAGGAAGGTAGAGATGGCTTGAAATGAGGAGAAGTCAAAGGGATTCAATGAGACAGACCTGGGTACAGCTCTTTTCCTTGTAATTGGTCAGCAGCTTGGACCAGTCCATTGAGCACAGACATGATGCTTTCACTGGAGAGGAGGAGGAGGGTAACCTTTATCAACTGACAGCTGTTAGTGCAGTGGCTGTGAAGAATGATGTCTGTTATCTCATGAACCCTATCACTCAAGGTCATTCGGAGTCAATGGCTGTGTGACACTGAGATGACCAAC